AACAAGACAATATGGCATCTAAATTCTCATTTACATAAATCCAACCGGTTATGGGTTACTTCACTTTTTTTCCCCCCACTATCCCAATAAAACATGTTTTTAACAAAACAATAAGTGTTACTAAAAAAAAAAAATGTATACAGCCCAAAGTGTATTTGACCTGAAAAGGGGATATTAAAAAAGGGATCCATGTCATCGGTTTCAGTTTATGAGCCAGTATTTATTTTTAAACCATTGTATGAGTGGAGCTTGCCAGGGATAAGTAATAAATGCCATTGATCACATAAAATAGAAAACTGGAATCTCAGGTTTGCATCTTAGAACACTTTTTACCACAGGGTACAAACAAGTTCAAGGCAAAGAAAGAAAATCATATGCAACATGTTCCACCTTTTCAGAAACAAACCTAATTGCACGGATTAGGTCCTGATCTAATGGCTTCAATTCTTTTTCTCATTCACTGAGCCAAGAGAAGTTCACAGATAGGGAGTTCTGATTTAACATGTTGCATACTGGTGAATGTCAGCCACTTAGAAAATACTGAACCAAGGAACAGCCAGGGAACTAGCATGTTATAGCAAAGGGTTTGTAGGAGACTTAGTAGCGCATACATTTCCTTCTTCTGTAGCATGGAGATTTTATGGAATTTTGGGTCATGTAATCTAAAAGGTGGCCATACACTCTACAACCATCGCAGGACTTTAGTCTTGCGATGGTTGTACAGGGATTAAAAAAACGATCGATCTGCCTATCTTGGACAGGCAGATCGCACTCTCGATCATCGCAAGCCCGCCCCCCTGAGGGGCGGGCTTCCGATGACCGCAATGCTGAACGGGCAGTGTGCGCGTGCGCACACCGGCCCGTTCGGCATTTGTCTTCCGAGCACCGTTCTAACCAGCCGAGAATCGTACGATTCCCGGCTGGTTTTCGAACATGCTGGTTCGACAGAAGACGTGCGACCGTACAGTAGAAACGGTCACACGTCTCCGTTCACACTGCTCGATTATCGTACGAAAAACCGATCGCATACGATTATCGTACGATAATCGTGCAGTGTATGGGCACCTTAATAAAGACATGTTGGGCTGGTGGCCAAGAGTGGAGATACTCAGCATTCAGACATTGATCACAGCCCAACCAGTGGCACATGCTGGGCACTATATAGCTACCTTCTACCGGTTTAGGCCTGTGATCACAGAATTGAACAGAGGGAAGTATTCCAGTGCAAACTTTGTAACACTGAGATGTGTACTTGTGTTAGAATGTTTGGAGCTGCAAAGTAAGCTGCTGGAAGCTGTCCAAACGAATGTCACAATAAATCATGTCCTTTAGGAACACCCTTGTGTCACAATGCTCTCCCATCACTGAGGCACCATGACACACTTTGCATGGTAAACGTCCTTTAACCCAGAGAAATCTGTCCCTAGCATGAAAGCACTGATTGGTTGCGTTTGCCCCTCAAACCTAAAGTTCTCAGCCCTCCTTTGCCATTTGTTATGTGACTTGCAGCATCTATGTGTTTTGGGCATATCAACAGGTCATTCTCTAAGATTGCTTACATCAGTGCTTCAGCACATAGCTGTGACGTCATTAGGTCCTGTCACCCAGGATTAGTGCTGCAAGATTCCCTTGTTGCAATGGACAGGGAAGTTTATACTGACTCCAATATCCCTACCTAACTTCCTAAAAGCCCTTCTAATTTTTAAAAGAGACCCAGTTGATTTGCCCATTCAGGGCACAATGACATGGCCCAAGTAAAACCTACTTCCCCAAACATTTTTCAGTGTTCCCCTGTTGCCTCTTTCCTGCAGCTGCTACTGCGAAATACATGGTGCTTACAAGTATTGGGTACCATCTTCCTATGATTTAGTGTTCAAGACCAGTGGCCAATCACTTGGCCTGCACAGTGACATAATATGTGTGACGGGGGGGACGACGACACACCACTGCTTTCTCTGTACTCTGACACCAGCCAGCACAGAGGATTTAATGGCTGCTGTTAGTGAAGAAGGAACTTCAGGGGGGAGCACGGTTATGGTTAGTATCAGGTATTCATGAATGTAGCATTTACACAAACCTGGTCACTTTGCCCTGAATGAGCAAGGAGGTAGGGTTTAGTGAAACTACATTTTGAGTTTAGGTCCAGTTTAAAGCAAACCTGTGTCCAAGCTTAGCAAAGAAGTACAGGTCGCAAATTTGGCGACATGCATTCTGCATCCCCCCCCCCCCATGTGTTCGTGCACTCTCACATGTTAAAACATGTGGGGGAAAATGTGTTTCAGTCACGTTTGGGGTGCCATTACCTAGTTACAGCAACACAAGCGCGTTTCACGTTCGTGCACATATCGTGAATGTGCGTCAAAGTGCACGTTTGACGTGTGTTCACGATAGGCCCTGGTGTGAACGGGGCCTACAGTGATCCTGTTGCTTTGCCATGCATGAGAAAAGCACAGATTCACTTTAATCTGCTGGCTTCCAGAAGTACAGCGGTCTAGATCAGAACACAAGTTTGTGCAGGAATGCAGCCTCTGGAGTACAGCTGAAGTATTGATGTGAAGAGAAGGAATGGTATGCAGGTGGGGGAGGCAGCCAAGACAGACTGGAAAAGTAAGAAGGTATTTGATAAGAGGACAGTTGAGCGAGAATCTGGGACTGATCATTTTACAGATAAAGATTTTCTGGATTATCCCACATCTAGAGCAGTAACTACCACCCTGGGTGCTACAGCACAGGTGAAGTGTTGCCTGCTCACCACCTGAAATCCACCAATTCTTAGTGTGCAAGTAAGGGTGCTGTGCCCACTACATCAGACTTCCCTGCCTCATAGGAGTTTGATGCATCCTAGTAGTATACAAAGCAACTGTGGGGAAAAAGGTTTGAAACAAACTTATCTTAGCCCCAGCATCAGCAATCAGTGCCTAGGCAAGGTGACATCATAGTGCTTCTAACATGACCCTGAGAATGATTAGAATCCCAAATATCTCCTGCATACATGTATCTTATTTGTGCATCACTCAGCTGTAGATCCTCAAATCATCTCTGAATTGGTGCCGACACTGTCCTTCCTTCTGCAGAGTGGCTACTTTTGTTCCCCATGGTCCCTGTGTGTGTTGTAAAGTAGCCACCGCTCCAAGCTCCCTTCTGTGATAGATTACCATGTCAATACAAATTAGCTAACTAAACCGGAAATTGTAATCTATCACAGCAGTGAGCTTGGAGCAGTGACTACTTTACAACACACACACACAGGGACCATGGGGAACAAAAGTTGCCACCCTGCAGAAGGAAGGACAGTGTCAGCACCAATTCAGAGATGATTTGAGGATCTATAGCCGAGTGAGACAAAAAAAAAAGGTGCAGTATTGTTAATAGTTAGTTAAGGTACTTCAATGCATTTTTAAGGTTTAGTGCCAACAGAGCAAACCCTTGGTCAGGACAGACATGTGAATGTAACAACATAAAATGTTCAGAGAGCTGATGTAATAAGAGCAGTACCCTGGCATGGCCCAGTCTGTGGTATGTGCCGCGCTTCGAGCACATCTCTGTGTTATTGTGTACTGTGCACAGACTGACTCCAGAAACTAGTTCCTCCTGAAACACACAGAGAAACACTGCCTCATTCCGGAGAACGAGACTGCACATGTACCATCTGATCTCATTTCACTCATCTCCGAATTAGTGCTTTCAGCTGACCTACTAACTGAAGCGTCTCTAAACACGCAAATCTGAAAGCAACAAATCCTCTGTTGTGTTCGACTTATGTCTAAAAATAAAGGATCTGTTGTTGGCGTTCCAATCGCAGTTAATGCACTTAGGTCTCCCCAAACACAATGCAACTTGTAGCATGCATGGTACATATAAAAGAGTATCTGGCACCCTGATTTATATAGGCTGCTATTCTTTTGAAAAATTAAAGTTGCCCCGGGTGTCATGTTGATCCTGCGGGTTCAATGCTTTTTTTTCTTTTTTATTTATAGAACTGGGGAGATCTGACTATTTTATTTTCACTTGCTGCATGCCAGTTCGCTGACTTATAATCAGGGGATCAGCATGATAGCTAGGCAACTGGCATTTTCAGAAGGTAGGGGGGGGGGGGAAAAAACACACTGAACACAGAATAGTTTACTTTTCTGTTACAATGAGTGTGCAAGTTGTGCGGTACGGCCATACATGAACTTTTAGGATTGTTTAATATGACATTCGTCTTGATTTAAAAACCATCAGTTTCAATAATGAGGGCCAGTCAGTAAACGAGTTTTTACACACACGTTACAACGCACTGAAACATGTTGTGGTTCCTATAAGAAAGATTGTGTCTGTTCCCCTCTCAGTACTGCCGTGTAGCAAGTTATTTAAACTGTGATATGTCCATTTTTTCTGTATTTTAGTGCACTGGGAGGCTCATGGAAGTCAATGGGAATGCATCAAAGCACATACACAAGGTACATGCATTTTAATGGGTTGGTAACATGTATGTAAAATCCTTGGTCAATGACTTATCTCTATTCACTTCAAATGCTTTTAAAAACTAATTGGAAACGTGTGTCAAAACGCAAATCAATGCACAAAGGAAATGCACGTTGTTGCACAACAATGCACCGGCATGAAAAAAAACCTGCCCCTCTATGTGGGCAAATGGGCGCTGAAACAATCACGTCTGTGATTGATCGTTCCTTCATTGTTTCATGTATGGCCAACATTAAATCCTATGCTGATAGAAGGTTCTGAGCTTGCAGGATACAATCATGCAGCTGGTGTGGGATCCTCGATTTTTAAACCAGTGAGTTCTAAACTGTGTTCATAACTCAGCACAACGTAAGGGACCCTGTGTGGGCTGATCCAGGAAACAACACTGATGATCAGAAGTTACCAGCATTGTATACAAATCTTGGCTGTCACCCTTTATGTCAGAATACCCAGTGCTGGTCTGCCAGGGGCTCCACCTCTATTACTTTGCACAATGGACATAAACTAAACATTTGGACAGAAATTGTACTTACTGTGATCCCTGCTTCGTACAGAGCCATTGGTCTCCATTCTTCTGCTATAACAGCCTGTTCTGATTGAAGATATAGCGCTCCCAATCTCAGTGGTGTGGTACAATCCTCGGTCAGGGAAGCAGGCTCTCTGGCTGTAGTGTTCTTATCATAGGTCAGCCTCTATCCCGGGGAGTCTGTCAGTGCATTTGGTCCAGCAGCTTTTTCTGCTGAGTGATCTGAATACGCCCAGCCGAACCCATCAAGCCTGTTCAGTGCTCAGTATGCATCCGCTGGGAGGGCAGTACACACACATATACACACACACACACTGGCTGTGTCACTCAGCCTGGGACAGCTGTATGCAGTTTGGAATAAATGGCTCTTTAATATTCTGCTGGATCTGCACTATACACCAACGGTTCTGGATGTGCATGGGGCCGGTGGGGCATAAAGCAATGACTTGCATCATTACACTCACCGTAATGAAATGAAAAAGAATCATCTTATTATTGGGATATGTGATGGAATGAGACATGTGACTAGCTTCTGTTCTATGAATACTCTACAGTGCTACAACTCTGATTTGGTTGGAGGGCTCTTTGATTGCTTTAAGTCCTTTCTCACCATAACCTCTATGATTTCACTGTCTGGTTGTGTCACAAGTGGAATAAATAGCCCCAGATTCACCAACACAGTACAGACACCACAGTGAATCTGTGTAAAAATGACAGAACTGATGCAACTAGTCAAAAATAACATTAAAAACAGCTACTGGAAGATAGTCTTTTTACACAATTGGTATATAATTTCTATTATCAGTAGAAATTGTTTGTAAAAAGTAATACCCAAATCTTGGAGCCGGCTGCCACCTACAGCACTACCTCGAGCCTGTCTCCTCCTCCGCTGCAGCGATGGTATGTATCTTGGCGTCCTTACATCCTTTGCACTGTGAATGTATAGAACGTGATGACTCGGGGTCTTTAGACCGCTGAAGCGGAGGGGGAGAGACACTGGAAGGACCAGTCTAAGGCCCCATTCACACTGAGCGACATGAAAATCGCGCGATTTTGAGCGATATTGCGCGACTAGCGATATTGAGCGACTTTTTTCTATTGGGCTGTATGCAATCAGGAGCAAAATCGCTCGAAAAAAGGGTCATGTAGGAGCGACAAGCTACCAGCGACGAGCTACAAGTGATATTGAGCGATATTGAGCGACGAGTTGTGAACAGCTCCATTGAAATGGATTGGAGAAGCTACATAGAGCGATATCGCGTGGAAATATGAGCGATATTGCTGCAAAAATCGCGCGATAAATCGCTCAGTGTGAATGGGGCCTAAAAGCAAGCTGGCTTTAAAGGAGAACTATGGGGTTAAGGCTTTTCCCCATAGTTCTCCTTAGGGTAACGGCAGGACACAAACTAGTGTCCTCCCATCACCCTAGGCTCAGTATACTGCGAGCTGTAGTTCGCGGTATACCGAGATGCCGCAGTATACCGCGAGCAACAGCTCACGGTATACTGAGACACCGCAGCTGAAGTGGATCCCGACAATTGTGCCGGGATCCGCCCAGCTGCGTGACTGACAGCTGGCTCTGCCTATCAAGAGGCAGAGCCAGCTGTACCCGCCCCCTCCCCCGTCCGTTCCGCCAGTCAGCGCTGGCGGAGCGGGCAGGGGGGAATCCAGCCCCTCCCCTGTCACGGCAGAGAGCCGTGACAGGATCGAGATGTGAGCGAACGCCGGTATGTGTTCGCTCACCTCCCGATCTACTGAGCCGACTTGTGACAGTCTCATTGTCACAGGTCGGCTAGAACTATGAGGTGAGTGAAAAGCTTGTTTGCACATAGACCAACGAGCACTTAACCCTTGCAGTACAGGGGTTGCCCCACTGCAACGGTTAAGAAAAGTTTTCCCTGGAGTTCATTTATAATATTTTTTAAGAAACCTTACGGGTCATGGAAGATGGGTGATTCTGTCTCCCCTGCTGGCATCGGAAGCTACAGCACCTTACTGCAGCTACAAGCTGGTCTGGCCTGGAAGAGAATGACTATTGAAGAAGGTAAGTGGTCTCATAGTGGTCTCACATCCACCTTAAAGTGAATGATCTGCCAATTATACTGCTATGGTATGATGCACTATAGACAGTGTGGCATTGTTTGTGTATTCTGTGCCCTGTAATGGATACTCCATGGGAATACATTGAAAACTGCATGCTTATAACAATGGTAGCTTGGCTGAAAACTGGATCTCAAGCTGTCAGAGCATCTGCTGGAGGAAAAGAGGTTTTCTGTTCTGGACAGCAATTTATAATGCCACAAATCCCATATTACTACTAAAGCACATTCTTATCACAATATTACACCACCACAAAAAGCTATTTTTTTTATTAAATATTAAACGGAGAAAAACACAGTCCATGAACATACAGTTCATAAGCAGATCAATCAGCATTATCCTAATCCATTAAATAATCATAAAACACTCAACAATTCACATGGATCCTTCCAAATGTCAATAATAATAATAATAATCAAAATATCCCACCTCAACATAACTGTCCTTTTACTTCTTCCATCAACTCAACCCACACAATTTTTACTTTGTATTACTTGTACCTCCTACTAGACTGTAAGATTGTAAGGGCCCTCCTAACTCCCCTGTATTCACATTTTATCAAAACTGTACTGTCTCCCTTCATTTTGTAAAGCGCTCTGTAAACTGGAGCCATATAAATCCTGTATTATAATATTAATACATGGCATATAAAAACATATATTGTACCTATAACTGCAACCCAACATCAACCAAATGGAATTGTGGATGGATACATATGGGGTGTATAGTATAAAAAAACTCAGCTATTCTCAATGGAATATCTTTTCAGGGACGACCCTGGTCCCAAAATAACAATCTCAGCAAACCATAAGTAGTGACCATGCAAAAATTATGTATATATGTGACAACAAATGAAACAAATACATAACAAAAAAATATAATAGAAACTAATAGAATCCAGAAAAGAAACCAGAGTATCCAAAAATGCAATAAAATGTTATGCATATTGCCCTAAAAACTAAAGGTGAGTAATATGTATCCCAAACAATAGCTGACAAGTGGCTCACTGATGTGTTAGGAAAACCAGACAACAGTGGAGATCCAGCAGGGGATCTAAATCTGTTCAACTGCACCCCAAACCGAAAATCCGTTTTGGGTTGCATTGCTCTAACAAATCATGTTTTAACCCCTTCTACTGTACGTCGTCAGTCACGAAGGGGTTAAACAATGTTATAGTTATTCAGGTTAGGTTCACACTTGGGTCGATCCATGAGTGCGCGGCAATCCTGAACGATACTGCACGGTATACTGCGGTGGTGTCATGGAGTCGCCCACCTCTGACGATTGCCCTGGCGGAGCCATTACTTTCTAATGGCACCCCAGTCGCGCCGGACAGCCGCATGTCCTCCTGAGCCGCTAAAAAGGATACAAGTATCTTTTTTCTGCGATTGCCGCGCGGATTTAACCCCATTGAAATCAATTGCTGACGCGTGTCCTGGATCGCCCAGCTCTGCACCAGCCCTTGATATACAAAAACCCACTATACAAAAACATCCCGTCTAGCTTCTAGATGTCCTGACCTGCAGCATAGGAAGGAGTTACCTTCTTCTTATCTGCTCTGAATCTATACTGTGTGAGACTTCCTCTGGTTTCAGCCTAATTACATCTCTCATGATCTCATCTCTGTATCTTACTACATATATCTATGTAATCCGTAATCAATCAAAATTCTATTCAAACGTGAATTTAAATCAAGGAATTCATTTTATTGGTCAATAAATCTAATGATAGTACATCAGCAGTAGTTTTTTTAAAGAAAAATATGAATATTCATAAGCAATGTAAAAGGAGGTTAACAGACCATTTAATCCAAACAATGATCATTGTTTTTTTACATGTGAAATGTTTCCACCACACATATCTATGACCTGCCACAGTACAATAAAAGTTCTGTACATTGTTACACATGATAATATCTTGGCTACAATACAAGGAAGTCACAAGCCTGTTTTGTATCCATTAGTATATAGATAAGTATGTGTTCATGTCAGGCTGTGTAGTTTAAGATGAATTAACTATTTAACACATGCAGTCGTTACTTATATTGTCTGTTTGGTTTAGTCATTATAAAACTTTAATGTAAACATTCTAATATTCAAAGATTCTTCACAGGAGAGGTTTGGCTTTTTAGGGGAGTTTAGGGGAATTTTTCAGAGTTTGAATGATGTTTTGGAGAATCCACCAAATAACAGGTGATGTTTGTCTGCGTACTGTGCCCTCTAATGAGTTCTTTATAGAAAAGGTGAAAATGGATGTGAGCTTCAACGGTTGAACCTGACTTGTGCAGAGTCCAGGAAAATCGCACGTTTTTCAATGCATAGAGATGTCTATGGGACCCAAACCACGCGACAACAGCCAGAAAATAGCTCCTGCACCTTTTTGCGCGACAGGCGATTTTGGCCGTGCGACGCAACGCAAAGGTGTGAACAGGCCCCATTCACTTCAATGGGAATCTTTGTTTGCTGTTAAATGTGCGCGATAAATCGCCTAGGTGTAAACCTAGCCTCAGAGTGTTGCTGTACAGGGAAGCTGAAATCAGCTAAATTCAGGTACTTATATTTAAAAGGCCTTGTTTCTACTGACTTCAGCTTGTATAAAAGCAGTTCATACCGCACACTCTGTGTGTAAATTTATTGAAGATAAAGGTCACATTCATGCACCTGAGCTCCCCCCTGTAACGTGTTTTCATCCTCAATAGGGCTTATTCAGAAACCTATTGTGGGTGAAACGCGTTAGTGATAGGAGTTCAGGCAGGTGGACATGACCTTTATGTTCTTCTGGAATGCAGTATGAATATCTTTTTTATGGGATGTTCTGGCTGGTGAGGACGGACTTGCAATCATACCAGCACTCGCAGTGAAGAGGTGTTTTTCTGTATAGACCTGGAGCAGAGCTTCTAGTTTTGTGAACGGTATAAAAGAAGTGTGTGCTGCAAAATCTCGGGAATCTTCAAGCAGCTTTGTTTAAGCTTTTTAAGAAAATAGTATGAGGATGTTAAATACAGAGCTTAATGGGGGTGCTGACTTTCACTTTAAAGAGGCTCCTAGTAGGCTTTTAACACATTGGTGGTGCTGAACCTTACTGAAGCCGGCTGGCAGCTTGTTTAACCCCTTCACGTCTGGAGCTTCTTTTTTTTTTTACACACAATAAATAAATCTGAATTTTTACTAGAAAAGTGCTTAATTGTCATTTTTGCACATAGGCAAACCTGTCTCATGTTTGCTTTTGTATGTGCGTGTATGTGGGGGAGGAGAGCATTATTTAAAAAAAAAAAAAAAAAAAATTACTTCCATTTTTTTTTTTTTTATCATACTTTATTTATTGTTATCAGTAGGGATGCACAGATACCGATACTAGTATCGACCGATACTTGTACTCACCCAAATGCTCCAATACCAGAACTTCCGGTCAGAGGAAGATTTCCTCTGGCCGGCAGTGTCGTAGGGGAACATGGAGCCTGCTTCCCGTGCGACCAGGAAGCTGGGCGGCAAGTAATGGCCCGCCTAACGGCTTAGTGATTGGCCGGGAAGCCGGCACAAAGCTAATTGGTTGAGAAGCCGGCTTCTCAGCCAATCAGCATCGAGCCTGCCGAACAGTCAGCTTGATTCTGATTGGCTGGAAAGCCAGCTTTCCAGCCAATCATCATGGAGCCGGCTTACCTGCCAATCAGGAAGCTTGGGGGCGGGTTATTACTTGCTTGCTTGTTGTACACACGGGTGTTATACAAGCTGAAGGCTGTATGAACTAGGTCCTAGGTCTACTTTTCACACTTTGCACTGACCATACACTTTCATTTTATGATCTTACTTTTTTTTTTTTTAAATATATAAATGCAGTAAAAGCATACTCCACATTTGTGTGAATATTTCATGTGACATATTTAGGGTGTAACATGAAACATGGTCACATTTCCCAGCCCCCCTCCCCTAGTTACCTGAATCCTGAGGTTCTTCTCCCTGCTTAGTTTCTACTATTTCCATTTGCATTCAGTGAAGCTGTGGGGACGGGGTACAGGATCTGTGAATGGAGAGGCTACACGTCCCATCTGCCACTGCAGCAGAGAGAAGATCTCAGTGGCGCACCGTTGTAGTCCAATGATTACTTCCTCCAGCCCCATAACAGAAGATCCATACCTCTGTACATACCTGTGGCTGTGGAAGAGTGTGTAGGAGCCTGTGTATTTCAACCGTGATGCACTGATTCCAGTTGCAATGCTCAGCACACTCCAATGCGTACATTTAAAAGCAGATCAGTCAAATTAGCATTTGAGTGGATGTTACTTTTACTCTTCCCTAGGCTTCCTAAGCGAAGTTCCTCCTGAGGTTATGTGATCACCCTGGGGCACACAAGAGTGCACTTGCAGGTTGGCACACTGAGCCAACTATACACCCAGTTTTACAAGACATGTTCTGTTACGGAGATTCATTGACATTATAAATTGGCTGATATGACAGCAGCAGCATCACAAATAGGGGGGGGGGAGCGAGCACGGTTAGAAGGTCAGGCAGAAAGAACGGATTGCAATCTCACTTTGGTTGGGAAATTCCAGATTTAATTATGCTCAATGTCTACTTGGTTTAAAATCCAGGAGAACCTGTAAGAGATGTATCTTCCTCCTTGTTTAGCTTGTTTGATGACTAGGCCATGGATTTATTTTAAAGCTGAACTCCGGGATAAACAAAGATTATGTAAATACAAGAGCCTTGTGTATTTTTACTTGCATCTTGGTGTGCCTTGAGTATTCATTCCGGAACTTTGCCATAAATCAGTGTAAACATTTACCTCTGTACAGAAGCTTCAAACTGGTAATAAAGACCGGTCACGGCTGCTCTCTCTCCTTGTTCGAGATGACTGGTCTTGTCTCCGCCCCCTCCTGTAGCTTTCTGCAGGCAGCCTGTAGTGCAGGAGTGGGCAAATCTGACCCTCTAGCTGTTTTGGAACTGC